TTCCCACAGGTACGTTTTTAACTCACTTAACAATAGCAGTCTAGAGGACTTCTCCCTGCAGACAACAGGACTCTTATTGTGCAAATGAATGTTTATATAGAAATAGATTGTTCTTATCATGACTTGGAGCGAGTGACCGTTGAATTTGAAAGGCTGGTCTGAGATCTAGCCTTGTTGGCCTTGGACAAGACATTTGATGCTTGTGCCTCAGCTGTATTTTAGAGAGAGAAGAACTAGCTATTTTCATTAGTCTGAAATGGCCACTCATGGGAAACCCCAGCCTACACTCACACAGTAACCAAACCAAAATCTTCCAGGTCTGGGAAAGAAGGATTGAGTCCTTTCATGTCCTTTATTGTGATTTCCCTACCAAAAGCTAGTCTTGCTGTTAGGGATGCATTTCCTTCTGTCTCACCATATGTTAGTCTTGTCCACTGCAGAAACCCAGGAGGAGCCTTTGCTGCAGCTGCAGTGTTGTTCTGCAGGACCTCTGTGGTGGTTGTCAGAGATATATAGATATGACTGTTGGGTTTTCTCCAGCCGAACTGGACAAATGCACCTGCACTCACCGTATCTGCTAGCACTGACGTAGGATACCATAAGGAGTGGACTTTATATGGGACAGATCTTTTAAAATAGGTTTTTGACGGTGTCTGTATTATTATGTTTCATATTTATCAACATGAAACTAGAATAGAAAGGTTTTTTACTTTGCAGAATAATCAAAATTGCACACAGCCATAACGAAGTTGAAGATTTTAAAATATGATTTTTGTAGTGGGCAATTGGGTTGTGTATCTTACAATAGATCTATGTTTAATGAAGATACCCTGTCCAATGTGTATGAATGATATTTTAAACCTTTTAGTAAATATCAAGTTTATAATATTTAAGATAGTTAAAAATAAATGTGTGTATATATATATTTAATAAATTCTGTCCATATGATGCTTAACAAAAGTAAGGCTCCAAAAAGTCTGTCACTGCTCTTGCTCTTTTCCCCTGCCATGTCAGTTTGCACTCACTGGAGCACACCATTCAGTGAGAGAGCTCTGGGAGTTCAATTTTTTCCTTTATGATAATATGTGCACTGTTTTAGTAATGTCTTTTAAAATGTCTTTTTTAATGTACTCTTAGTAATTTTTATTTTTTTAAGAAAAAGGCAGTTAGATGGTCACGCTATGTGCCTTTTAAAAAAAATTAATTATTCATAGGCTGTTTTCAACTCATCTTAATGGTGGGGTGGTAACAAATAGCAGGATAAGAAATTCCTGCAGATTTCATGAAAGTTGCTGGCTAGATAGAGGGGAAAAAAAAAATCTAAAAATAGCATCTGTGAGAGGAAAGTAGCAATCTGAGCTCAACTTGTTTCATCTGGCCTGTTGGCTTGAGAAATATAACCTGGCAATAGCCGTAAAGGCAGAATAAATATCCCAGTGCTCCCACAGAGCTAAAGGGCAAGGTGCTAAGGAAAAAGAACAATAATAAGGGTAAGCATATAGCCATTGTTTTCTTCTTTCATCTTCCAGCTGTTTTATGGCCTTCCTGTGTCAGAAGTGGTGTTTAACCAGACGGAGTTTGTGTTTGCATAGTTCAACCAGTGGTTTAGGGATGTTCAGGGGCCAGGGAAGGAGGGTGCCCAGGGGTGGGATACGCGGGGAGCTCACGGTATGGAAGGAAAAAAATGCAGACAGAGGATGTGAAGTGAAGCAAAGACTATCATGGTGGTAGTTTTAATTGGGAGTTTACTTCCAAGATCTTTGGAAATCTATTTTCATTCTTCACTCAGCACTTCTCTATAACAAAAGCAGCCACTGATATGTCATATTGCTATAAAATATGATCAGCTTAACTATAGGAAGCAAATATCTGTTGTGTTTTTAAGAAAATGAAAGAAGACATCCTACATAATCATATCAGCAAAAACTAATCTGTATTTTAGCTATTGTTAGAATCATAGAATCATTGTTAGAATCATAGAATCATTGTTAGAATCACAGTATGGTTTGCGCTGGAAGGGACCCTAAAGCTCCCCCAGTCCAACCCCCCTGCCATAGGCAGGGGCACCTTCCACTAGATGAGGTTGCCCAAAGCCCTGTCCAACCTGGCTTTGAACACTTCCACGGAGGGGGCATACAAAACTTCCCTAGGCAACCTGTTCCAGTGTCTCACCATCCTCACAGTAAAGAATTTCTTCCTAATATCTAGTCTAAATCTACCCTCTTTCAGTTTAAAACCATTCCCCCTCATTTTATCGCTACTTGCCCTTGTAAAAAGTCCCTCCCCAGCTTTCCTGTAGGACCCCTTCAGGAACTGAAGGGCTGCAATAAGGTCCTCCTGGAGCCTTCTCTTCTCCAGGCTGAACAGCCCCAACTCTCTCAGCCCATCCCTGTAGGGGAGGTGCTTCAGCCCTCTGATCATCGTGGTTCATCACAGTTCCTAAAGGATAACAACTTCCTTGTGGGAGCTAAGATAGTGAGCATCTTTGGTTAACAAATGGTGGTATCTTCCATTTCTGAGCACCTTAACAGCCAAACAGCCAAATTGCTTTAAGGTTTTGGGAGATGTGCTTACCCTCTGCTCTCTGGCAGGGTCTGCCCTATGCTGGGACCTGTACTGATTTGGTTTCTTCAGTAGTTAGATCATCTTGTTTAAAAAAAGGCATTTAAATGATCTACTTCTCCATAGCGCTCATGGGGCATAGGTTCTGTTCTTTTTGCCACTGTAGATAGTGTTTCGTTATCCTTTCCATGGTTACTTGTGCACATTCTTTTAATCTGTATTTCAGAAAATTAGCCGACTTGTGCCTTGTTGATGCATCTCCAAGAGTTCTTTGTTCTACTATTTATTAAACTTAATTATTTGATACCTGGTAGTAGGTTCTTCAGCTAGTAATTTCCCTTTGCTATTTCAGAACAAGATATTTCTGGGTAGTTTTTGCATGAAAATCAATTTGCCAAAACCTTGGGAAGTTTTTTTCATAATTCAACTCTTTATTTGTGTGCTGTATAATTACAATTTACTGCTATCTGGCAGAGGAGTTGAATCCATTGCGCTGGAATTTATTGCGCTCTCAAATGACTTTAGGGAAGAGTCAAACCATGAGATGGTCTTAGTGTCCTTTTCCTTGCACTTACTGGTCTATACTTCTTATGCTCTTAAATACTGTGTATTTACCTACTGTATTTTGGCTTTATGTGATTTAGCATTGGTAGATAAAGAAGGAAGCCATTGAAATGTTTATGCTTTTTATTGACTTAAGGTGCTTTGGAGAGAGGCATTAATCTACAGTTCAGTGAAGCAGTAAGAAAATTAAATACTCCCTCAAGAGTTTTCATTTGTAAATACAGCCTTGCATTAAGCTGCTGTGAACTGGCATACTTTCAGATTTTTGAATGCACTGTTTCTGTCTTCATTAGTAATTATAGCTGAGGGTAATAACACTGGAATTGTCCTTCATCAGAAATAACAATAAGACTTGATGATGTGGGTATGTGATGTGCTTTGGAAATGCTTGCCCTTGACCTCAAGCTTTAGGCCTGCCTCGCCACTGCCTGTCCTCTGGTGTAAACACTGGGTCCAACATATGGTCACCTTAAAATGCTAAATTAGAGCAGTAGCCTTTTATGCCTGCTTTGTAATCGTTTTGGTATAAATGACCAGACAACAAAGAGGAATGAGTAATCTGGTTGTGATATTTAGTTGGCTCAAACTAAATAATTTAAACATGGTAGTAAAAATTGTTCTTTTAGTCCCTGCTACTGCTTGACTGTATTTACTTTGGGCAATCTGATTGTGAGACCTTTATAAAAACCATATATTTGGATATCTCAGTACAGTCACCTGGTATGTGAGTGACCTTGGTAAAGTCAGTTCACCCTTCTGTGCTTTACTTTTGCTTTAATGTCTGTCTTTTTAGTGTGGGCTGATGGTGGGTTTGTTTGCTTGTTTGATTGTTTTTTCTTTTAACTGAGGATTTTTTTATTTAAATGAAAAAGCAGAGAAGTTGTCTTGAGAGTTTTCTCATGGAAAATATGAAAAATAACACTTACGTTTTTCTGACCTCTGAAAATGGAAGTAGTATATGGTTACAAAGGCCTGCAAAGTTTATGGTCATATTTTCAGTTTTTTCCAGTATAAATTTTTTTTCCATTTTCCATAGGGTGATAATTTTCATTTCCTGGAGAAGCTTTTAGGTGATGGTACAAAAAAAAAAAAAAAGCCTTTTGCTGCTGTAGCTGGAAAAAAAGCAGAAGGAAAATGTTCTGCTGTTCTTGCTGTGAAACCTCTGAATACGTATGTCCTTACTTTGGAATAAACATTACTTTCATTTTAACCTTATCTATAGTAAAGTTTAAAAGTTATTTTAAAATCTGTGTTTATGGATGTACAATAGAAAAATTCTGATAGTTTTGATATTAAAGGGTGTTGTATGAGCCACAAACCACAAAGCAGCATCTGCTTGGCTCCCTGTAGCATTTCATGTTTTGGTTGATTCCGCTATTTGAAAAGATTTTCTTTTATTGGAGTGTTACCGGTACAGTTTCTCGATGATGTTATTTTAACACCTATATTTATTTCCTGAAATGTCTTATTGCGTTGGGACAAGTTGGCTTCAAAGCCAGATCCAGTTCCAAGTGCAGTTTACAAGAGTGCTATTAGGCAGAGAACTTGGTAATTATGCTGGGTTTTTCTGGATCCTTTGGGAGGTTGGGTGTGCCAGACAAGAAAGGTTATCTTCCCTTTTATTACTCTTTTTCTTTCTCCTGTCCTTCTTGCTCTTCTGTGGTAAATTTGTAGCCAGATTTATTTCCATTACACTCTGCCTACCAACATAAATTACAGGAGGAAATAAAAGGAAGATAAAACTTATAACTTTGTGGTTAAATACATGTTACCTCCAAGAAAACTAAATTTGTAGCTGATTAATTTTTCAGACTTTGACTACAACTTATCCTTTTCTCTTTCTCCTTTGTATTGGCAGGATAAAAATCTTGAACATGCCTCGTAGCCCAACATCAAGTGAAGATGAAATGGCACAAAGCTTTTCCGACTATTCTGTTGAATCTGAATCAGACAGCTCCAAAGAAGAAACTATTTATGACACAATTAGAGCAACTGCAGAAAAGCCAAGCAGCAGAATGGATGACAGTCAGAGCAACACATTAGTGATTCGAATTATAATACCTGATCTGCAGCAAACAGTAAGGCATATTGCATTACAATTTAAAAAAAAGAAAAGATCTAATTAAATGATTAACTTTGCTGGCTAAGTAGATCTGCAGTAGATCTATTCTATTTTCTTACAATTATTTGACATATTACAGGCAAAATTTATGTCATGGCACTTTTTTTAACGTCTACATTTTTCACCTCAGTGCTATGCCTGACTGATTGCCTAAAGCCAACGTCCTATCACGAGAGTCTATTTAGTAAGTTAACTTGTTGAAAGCTGTCTGATCCTCTTTCAGAGGCATTGGGGTAGGGGAAAGAGAATTAAACATCTAAAATCTCATCAGAATATAAGGGATGAACCCCAAAATCACGAAAGCCTCATACCTATACAACTCCATTGTCTTCTTCATTTTCTCACTTTGTGAGATAGTTTGTGATTGACACTAGACTGGAGTCTAGCAGGAGGTTGTCAAATTCTCTCTCTCTCTCTCTTTACCATACTAGCTGCCTTTTGCTGTCATATCTCCATGAGGATATATCCTTGTTAGATAGTTGACGGCTTTTATAGCATAAAGTTAGGGAGAGAGAAACACAAATAAATCTTTCCTTCCTCCTTTGCTGCTATGCCTTTACTGCATGGTGGTGTTTCTCAGACTTCCACCCAGAGAAGTCAATTCACTCACTTTGAAGGAAGAGTAAAGCATGGCATATTCCACAGTTTTTAACATGACATGAAATTGCAATTTTATTCTCTCTTACCTCCTCACCACTTCTTCTGGAAACATATCAGAGAAGGTAAAATGAGTATTTTTCTGGTTTTCCTAGAAAAGTAATTTACAAGGTAACTTGTGGACTTATGGTGCTCTCTCACATCTCTAAATCTATTGAATGAAAATAGAGACTTTTCAAGAAAAGGTTTAATCTCTCATGTCTTACAGAAAGAACCGAGCAGACTTTTCACTTGTTAAATGATGTGTGATTAATTGAGTAAATGGGAAGGAAAGTTTTTTATTTTAAAAATAATTTTGGATGTTCCTTATGCATTAGAAATCTACAGTCCAAATTCCTCACTCTTTCTTAAAAGGAACTACTATTTTGTGTTTCTTTTATGGTTAGGTGTGTCAAATTCAGTTTCTGGTCTGTTAGGAGCATAAAGTTGGAAAAGTATGCTGTTGTAACTTTGTAAGTAAAAGAATCGTTGTCCTCCACAAGTGCTACAATAGGAATATCAATCCCATCCTGGAGAAGGTCTTCGGAGTTGCTTACTGATTCTATCTAAAACTATCCAAGTTTGTGATTAATTATCTAAATTATTCTGGACCTCCCTGAATGCTGTTGTTGGGATTTTCAATTGATGGTAGGCATCAGACTTTTTTCATTTCAAAGATGATTATAAAAACACATACTTTTTATGTATGCGTGCTACATACATCACTCTGGGCTGACATTTAAGATCTACATCATACTGTGCTGCCATTGAAGATCTATCTCAGATGAAATTATTCCTTTCTTTTTAACTAAGTTCATTTTTAGAATTATAGAGATGGCTTGTCTACAGGCTGACAGAGAAGAGCTGTTTTGACAGTGTGGCCTCAGGTGTGGTTGTAGAGCTCTTTTTTCTAAAGCCCCATCTACACAGTGCTGAAGAATCTCAGTGAGATCTGTATTGGAGTTGGGAGCATTCTCTCTTAAATTCTTGTACTTAAAAAATTCCTTTAGATGAGGATTGCTGCTGAAATTACAGTACCACTCCATTAGTTTATATGATGTGAGAGTAACCTCTGTGAAGAGGAAGTGGAGCCGCGCCCAAGCTGGACAGGAAGGCTTCAGAGGGCAGAGCAGGACTGAGGCTGCTGTGAGCCCCACACGGGATTTTTATTAGATCTTGGCTGAAGCAGTCATCACCTTGGATCTTTCATTTCAGTGTTGAGTGAAATACTGGAATCCACTGTTGTACATCTTAAATTTAAAAGGATTTTGCCTGTAGTGAAGACCTCTGTCAAGACAAGCTCTGGCTGGACATGGTTAGGATTTTATTGATGAACCTACCAGCTTGCTATATCTTTGGCTTGTCCAGTGCTCAGTGAATAGATCCAGTAAGATGGAAAGATTAGCTTTACCAGCTAAGATTAGCTTTACTCTGCTGTTCAAAGAAGGGAGATATTAACCTCCTGAAGCCCTCTTGTTTCATTACTCTAGTTTTTAGACCAATAATAAGTTATTTATTGACACAATTGAAACAATGCTTTTAAAAATTCATTTTGTGCAGGAAATGAAATTTAAAAAATATTTTAAGTTTTGCATTTCATTTGTTCATTTTTATTGCTTTACCTTTTGCGTTTTTTCTCCTTTACAATAAACTCTTAATAAGAAGTAGCTCAATTATTTTAAACAGTCTATAGAAGATTATCTATTTGTGGTCTAAATTATCAGCCCACGAGCTCTTGTACAGAGAAGTGCAATCTGGATTCAGGTTTCCAAATGGGAAGACTGATGGCTTAAATGTAGTGTAGCAAAGTTTGGAGAAGATGAATGTTCGCAAGCTGTGTTATAGCTACAAGACAAATCCAACATACACCTCATTTGCTGTATAATTATAAGCAATTTAACATAAGAGGTATTTAAACTTATTCTGTTTATTCAAAGGAGCATGAAATTGCATCATATAGTTTTATGTTTTGATTCTTTATTGGTTTTTAGAAAACATGATCAAGAATATATTTGTTTAAAAGAAGACAAGTTGGGATTTTGGATAAAACTCAACCCACTGGAAACCTTTAAACCTCTATCTAAACTCACTAGGAGTAAAAGTTTGCTCATTTGCAGTGTCTGTGGTGTAAATCACCTTTATTTCATTGCACGTATAAGATAAGTACCAAGCATCATAAGTAGGATGTGCTGCTATAGAAAACTTTATAAATTATCACCCACTGTCGGAAATCTGTCTTGTTGCCCTTTTATTCTCATTTGAAATTTTAAAGTTTATATAAACCTTGACAAGTTCATAGGAAGCTCTTATGAAGACTTACTTTTCAGTTCTTACATGAATTCTTTTTTGTCTCCTTTTTGGTTCAGTTGATAATCTAAAGTATGGAAACAATGCTTTGTAGAAAGAGTAATTTCTTGTTGCTTTTGCGCTTCATCTGTATTCAAATAAGCATCATCTTTAGCACAGGAGGGTGGATAATATTTAAATGAGTGACTGAAAGATTTCTTGAACTTAGTAAAATTATTGAGGCCATGGAGAGCATAGAAAGCCCTCCGTATTCACAAATATATGTGCATAGGAGAGTGAGTTAAAAAGCTGTACTATCCAGCATTTAATTTCTCAATTTAATGAGTCCAGATTCTTTATGGAGGCAAGACACAGGTGCAACCTCTCTTGAACAGAAGCTTATTTGCAGTGCATGCAGGCTAGAGGGCTCTGGCTTGAGCCCTACTACCTGCTATTGAGATGGAAATTACAGTAACCCTTTCCTCCTCTCTTTGCAATAGTAGTGCAGGGTTTCTTGGCAATATTCAATTGTATTTGCCCTTAATGTGAGGATGCTTCATCCCCCGGGTAGTGAAATTCAGTGTCACACAGTCAGCAGCACTGATTGATGACAGATCCACGTATTTCCCCCTTGGTAAGCAACACTGGCAGTCAAAAGCCCCCGGCAGTTTGCTGCCCAAGGTGACTGCCTACCTTGTGCCAAAAGGCAACTATGTCTGTGCATGGCATCGAATGTCTTTTCGATATGGAAAACTGTGAACTAACATGTCTGTGCTTTCCTATATGATTTCTGGGGTATCTGACCTCTCCCGGGACCTCTTTGGTCTGAATTCAGGGAAGTCTTCTTGTATTCATTTTGTTTATCAGTCCATGTAGGAACATATCATAAGTTATTCTGCCTATAACTGGAAGCAGTCTGGTTCTTCCCTTGTAGCTGTTATCAAGAAAATACCATTTGCATGGTATTTTGACAGTGATATCCAATGTTTTGTGCTTAGAATTGCTCTTTTCCCCAGACTTCAAGAACAGATCTATCAGCCAATTTTTGAGGAAAGTTTTCATCATTTTGTCATCAACACATGGTGGTGGTTCTGCTCTTTTGTTTTATCCGATACTTGTGTGCTCCCTCTGGGTTTCATTTAAAATCAAAATGCCCAGATTCATATGTTTTATTAAATTCTGACGCTGAGATAAGATTGGGTCTGCTGAAGACTTCTTTGAAATGCTTTCTGTCCATCTGTTTTGCTGCTCCACTTCAGTAATGACCTCTTACTCTCTCTCCCCACCCCTGTGTTTGGGGTTTTGGTTGGTATTGGGGGTTTTTGGGTGGTTTGGGGTTTTTTTTGGTTTTGTGGTTGGTTTTTTTTTTATATTGGACTTTCCATGCAAAATGTTGTTTGGTAAGTGACCCTTTGGGAAAGCAGCAGCTTAAGTTGTAGCTACTTTCTGGGTTGTTTTTTCCATTTCTGCATTGCTTTATATACTTTATACTATGACAGGAACATTGTGAGTGCTCCTGACATCTGTTCTTATGCCCTTGATCTGGACAAGTGATCTGACTTGCCAGCTGATGATGGAGTGGCCAGACTGATTTTTTTTTTTACTTCTCATGAATTATGTGCTTTCTTAATGCATTTTGATAAAGGAAAGCAGTAGCTCCAAGAATTAATTTGAACACCAAGCACAAACCAAAACGGGTAACTTGCTCCATTTTTTTCATGTTATCCAACTCTCATTTGCATTTGCCACTTTTTGGTTATCACGTCTTTAATATCAATGTCTTCTATTGAAAGGAATAACTTATATTTTGATATTCTGGCAGTCACATTTTGGAGGCTGCTGTACAAACCATTTGTCATGGTTCCTCTGTCACGGTGCAGTTCTGTGTGATTGACATCTTTGTGAGTTTGATGAAAAAGATGTGTTGGTTGATAGATTTTGAACAGATAAATGTTATTCCTCAGAGGTTCTGTATAATGAACATTCCCACTGAATTATTATCTTCCTTTTAGCTGAGGTGAGCTGGATTTTTCCCTTGCTTCCAGTCTTTCCATTCCTGCACACTGGAAGATTATAATTGACCATGTCTTTTATGATCCAAAGAGCTTTAACATAAAAAATACAGGTCTTGCATTTCAGCAAACAGTGTTGACATGTTGTCTTGCTGCTGGCTGGACTTGGCTTGTGAGTAGCCTAATGTGGTTTTGACAGTGTTTCTAAGCCACTCTTCTTTGAAAGAATTGTTGCAATATTTATAGTGTATGTAGCTAGCCTTCAAGACAAACTATCCCATTTTATCTGGTCTTGGAATGCAACAAGAATGGAAAGAATATATCCCACATCTGTCGATACATAATGTCTTTGTTTCATATGTGTTTCTGTAGTTCTTTGCTACTAAACTATCCATTTTACTTTTTTTTCCATAATAGATCATTTAAGGTTAGAAAAAGTTGTCCAGCTTTCTTGACTCAGCTACTGTCCTTGTAGTCAACACACCATGTGCATCTAATGAATTCTCATTTGTGTTATTTCTTTCATAACTAAAGCAATCTGTGATTAGACTCTGCTGTGATTCAGCTGACATTTTGTCAGGGTAGAAAGTTTGGCAGTAGGTAACAACTTGTCTATATGATAGAGACGATGACTGTGGTGCTCTCTGTCCTGCAAAGGTTGCCATATGGGCAGAGGTGTTCCAGGGGCAAGCTGATCTAAAATACACCTTATGCACCATTTCAGTGGTTCTTATCCTTTTGTTCAGAAGCTGCCTCTGAGAGAGTAGTAGCAGCCTATTGATAGTCCTCAGATCTGAGGATTAATTCACCACAACAGAGCCAAACTCCTCACTTCAGCATTTTACGATATTCAAAGCCAGCTAGCCATCTCTGCTCTGATAAAGTGAATATATATGGACGACTGGTTGTCTGCAGTGCTTGCTCAGTTAAGAACAGTTGTAAATTGAAAGTCCTTCATGTCCTGGTTGTACTTTTCACTGTTGAAAATATTTGCCATGTAATATTGAAACAGTCAAGAAAAAGACACTGTGAATGTATAAAATATTATGACTTCTGCCTTTGAATTTGCTCTTCAAAATTCAGAACTGAAGTACTGAAATGAGTTTGTTATTTGATTTGTGTATATGGGATCAGAGATTACTTTCAGGTGTATACATAGCTTGTCAGGACAAATATGTTTAGTTCTAAAAGACAAACTGCGTTTATTTTCTTATGGATGGCTTCAGGACTTTAAAAAGATGCCAACAGAGGTGATCACTGCAGAAGCAGCTGTGGGTAACGTTAAAAGAAACATTTCACTCTCTTTGTAAAACATCAGTCTTATTTTTGCTTGCTCTTCTGTTCTGTTCTATTTATGTGCAATTATGATATGAAGATAAGCAAAAATCTTCAGAAGAAGCCTGAAGAGTGGTTACTGATGTTATTACTGTAGCCAGAATTACAGCTACATTCATGGAAATGTACTGATAAAAAAGATATATCTGTTAATATTTTTCTTTTGCCCTTGTGCAATCCCTGTATGGTGTGAATCGTGAGGGGACAGGAACGTCCACTGAGTAGGTTAAGAAGGAGCTCCTGTGCTGTAGCTTTGCCATGGCCTCGTACAGAGTGAGTTCACAGCACCGCACATTTGTAATGCACATCAGCAGCAACAAATTGGTTCTTTGTAACCACTGATTTCAATGTAAGCTACAATTGCAAAATTCCTAAACTTCTTAAATTTTAAAATTCCAACTTGGTAAGAAGCAGAGAAATGGAAAGGATTTTCAAGGGTTTCAAGTCTTCTGCTGCTTCATGTTGTATAGTTCATCATATAAACTTACCCTAGGAGAAGTGTAGCTTAAAATTAATTAGGTTTCTCACCTGAACACAACTTTTAAACAAAATGGTTGTGGGTCAGACTGATTGTCAGAACGGCCTAGACTCAAGTGGATGGTTAAACGTCTTGTAACATCCCTTTCACTTGGCTCTTCAAACAGGTTAGCAATGAAGGTGGTCTTTCTCTGAAGAACGATATGATCTCTCACATTTGTGGAAGGACTTGAGACATCCTGTGTGTTCACAGTACTTGTGCATTAGTTATTATAGAGGAATGTGTGCCTGAAATATAATTCTGTTGATGTATGTTTTGTCATGAAATGTGTAGGTATATTGTGTATGTGTGCGTATGTTTATGACATTTGTAAATTTTAGAATGTAAGAGACTATTTAAATGTGTCTTCATTAATTGTATTTTTCAATAATTTCTCTTTGCAGAAATGCATTAGATTTAACCCAGAAGCTTCAGTGTGGGTTGCAAAGCAACGGATTTTGTGCACTTTGAATCAGAGTTTGAAAGATGTCCTGAATTATGGACTGTTCCAGCCTGCAAGCAATGGTAGAGATGGGAAGTTTTTGGATGAGGAACGACTTCTTAGAGAATACCCACAGCCAGTGAATAAAGGAGTTCCTTCACTTGAGGTATTTCTAGATCCAATATCTGAAACATTTGTATTCTGATACAATCTATACAGTAAGCTGTATTTGAGGTTTCTGCACACACCTGAATCGCATTTGGCAAATAGTGCTCAGCAAGTCTGAACTTCAGCCCTTGCTCACGGAAGTGCTGGTGTTCACTTGCTTGGTGGAGCTGTTCCATGTGTTACCCTCAAAAGACTGCAAAGAATCAGCCCTTCTGGGAGATTTGATTTTGGAGTTTTCCTCTGCTGAGGACATGGGAGGTGTCTCCTATTCTGTGACTTAATAAAGATATGTAAGTACCTAGATTAAGCTTTTGGATCTCTGATTAGGTAATTAGATTTGCAATAGTAGGGTAGCAGTTGCTGAATAACCAGCCTTTGCTTTCTCCCAAAGAGAGGGTCTTTTTGTCTCAGTGAAGCCCTTTTTTTTCCCCCATCAAGTACCCGCCTTTTGAGAGCACAAATTTCCTCTGTCTGTCTCCTGGGAAAACAGTAAGGGAAGAGAGGGTGTCTATGTGTGAAGCAGTCACTCATACACACTGGAATTTCCCCCACCCTCCTCTATTGCGCATGCAGAGGCTGTGCAGCTGGAGGATCAGCTAGGCAGAACTGTTAGGGTATTGGGTGAACATGGACCAGAGCCAGACCACACTGAAACAGTATAGCAGGAAACTGGGGCATGAAACTAGTATTTAATTATTTTTGCTGTTGCTTGTATGGTGGTACATCAACCACTAATAATCTGCAGTTAATAGACTTTGTTATAACACAAATCGAAGGAAATAGAACTGGAGTCCAGAGAAGGTTTCAAGCCCTAGCTTTTCTAGCAATTTATTTCAGAGTCAGTCACTGATGTGTGTATTATAGCCATAAGCAAATTAAATAGCGACTTTATTTTTTTCTGTCATGTTCTGTTTCATGAGTATTCACTGTTTACAAAATTCTTCTCACTGCAGCTAAAGGATTGCAATTCAGGGGTTAGAGGTGGTCTTGTGAAAAGCTGGTATTAAAGCCTCATTCAATACAGTCTGCTTGTCCAACAGAAGTGCTGCATTCTTCGAATTCTGTGTAGTACAATTAGATAACAGTAAATTATAACAATGTAAACCCAATGATTTTTGCCGTAGATCTTTCTACTCTGACCACAAGGTAGCAAACTGTTCAGAGTAAAATGTGAATGAGTTTCAGCCAAAAAAGGGCAATCCTTTGAACCTCATTTAAAGCACCAGTCCTCTTAAACATCAGGAGAACTATTCCCATATGTAGGTTCTGCCTATGTTGATTAAGGGATTTTTCAGGAATCCTTTTTTTTAATTTCAGAAATGCTTAGCTGTTATTTTGAAATACGCTTTTTTTTATTGAACATGCCTTCCCAGTTCTTTCTGCCTGAGACTATAAATGAAAGTGCACAGATACTCTTAGGAAAAAGCTCTTTTCACTGTAATCCTTATTTAGTTAGATTCTAGAGGACAATCTCATTTCCCATACACATCCACTGATTTCAGTATATTTATACAAGGTATGAACGTTGCTTACGTGAACTGTAAAACTATGATGACACTGTGTTAAGCAGAGTGCTGATTATGAATGAGTATTCAAAATGAAATACTAAACCTTTTTTTTTGAATATTGCCTAAATCTACACCATTGGGGATGATACTTTCTAATAAGATCAGAAATCTATGAGTTTTTGAGCAAAATGGGACAATTTAAATTTATTCTTTTTTCCACCCTCAGTTTCGATACAAGAAAAGAGTGTACAAGCAGTTCAATCTTGATGAGAAACAGCTGGCCAAGCTTCACACGAAGGTATGCCTAATTTACTGAAGAAGTTAGCGAAGGCCTACTTAGCAAAGTAATGTGTCTGGGAAACTCGAAATAAGTAGGAGTTCATTCCACCTGGGCCAATTGCTGAACAACAAACAGTACATGCTTACAGCACCAACAGGAATGTGTGAATTGTGATCTGGGAATTTCTCTCATAGAAAAATTCCCATTTTTGACTCTTTCACAGAGTAATTTTAAATGAACCTTGCTTCGTAAGTACAGCATGCTTTCAGAATGCTGCAAAAATGCTCATCTATGTCTTTAGACTCATCTGCTGGTCATAATAATAATGATCACCATACGACATCCTAATTTCTTACTGAATGAACCATTCACTCATTTTTCCCTTAAAACTACAAAAAACCCAATATCTTCTTACTGTGATTGACTTTTAACCTTTATAAACAGTAGGGTTTACGCTCTCAGTATAAAGTCAAGTTCTTCAGGAATGTGAATTAGCTACTGTTCAATGATATCAATGGTTATTGACATCAGTTAACAGCATATTTCGCTTTTAGTGAAATTTTTTGTATTAAAATTAGAGGATGATTCATTTGTCACCCTTTGTTACAGGCTAATTTGAGAAAATTTATGGATCATGTCCACCACCTCTCAGTGGAAAAAATCACAAAGATGTTGGACCGAGGACTGGACCCAAACTATCATGACCTAGAAAGTGGAGGTCAGAACAGTAAAACTAGACGCATAAAGTAGTACGTTGTGTTTGTTTAACCTAAGTTGATGAACAGGCTGAATTTCCCACATTCTTTCTATTTCCTTCATAACTCTGGGCTAATGGAGTGTGTATAGTTTTGCTGTCTAAAGAAGAAAATTGATAATTTATTTTCTTTGAGCAGCATTTTTAACATTACAATTTTTAAAGCAAGTGTTCTTTATTTTATAAATTTGCTCAACTTTTTTCAAGTACATGGTATTCTCTTCTTTAGAAACACCCCTAACTTTGGCAGTTCAGCTTGACAATACAGTAGAAGTGATAAAAGCTCTGAAAAATGGAGGAGCACATTTGGACTTCAGAGCCAAAGATGGAATGACAGCTCTGCACAAAGCAGCCAGAGCCAAGAACCAAGTAACCCTCAAGGTAAATGCTTTCAGTAGCAAATTATACATTATTGTATAGAAAAAAATATATAAAGGAGAATGTTTTCAGTTAATTACTGTATTATTCTCTATGCATCCTTTAATATGTGCTTGTTCTAGTGCTTTTGTGTGGCTTTCAAATCTTAGGATTTGCTTTAAATAAAGGGCCTTTTCATTTCTGATATTTTTTGGTAGGAAGAAAAAGTGAAATTTAACCTTACTCATTGATAGATTGGGAAAGATCTGTCTGAAGAAATAGGAATAGCATTATTGTTGCTTATCTCTTTGAAAGCAAGTGCCAGTGGCATGGATTGCACATTATATCTTAACATAGTCTCTTCTGTTTTCTTTTGTATTTTAACAGGTATTCTTAAATCACCTTTGGTATTCTAGATTAAGTCCTGTGTTTATGACTCTTGCTTCTTTCCCTTTGACAGATAATCAAATTGTATGACATTTTTGATAAAGCATCTTGTAACTGAAGAGGTGAATGTGTTGCAGAGGTGACATGGCATTTTCAGAACTGAGATTTCTGGACTTAATGAGAGGATGGAAGTTGGACATTGCCACTCATCCTTTCATTTCTATCCCTGTAGATTCCTTTAGATCCTAATTTTTCTGAGGTCATTCCTTACTTAACTTATTCTGTACTGCAGGCCATTCTATCAGCCTATAAAGTGAGCATAAAATATGTTATGGCAAATATCAACCCTGTAAATACTTTTTCAGGTAGAAAAGTCCCCTTATAGTTAGAAGTTTCTCCAAAATATATTTTTCACAGTTTGCGATTGCTTTCAGACTCTTTTAGAGCTTGGAGCATCTCCGAACTACAAAGACAGCTGTGGCCTCACACCATTGTACCACACTGCTATTGTGGGAGGGGATCCTTACTGCTGTGAACTTTTACTTCACGAACACGCTACAGTCAGTTGCAAAGATGAAAATGGATGGCAAGAAATTCATCAGGTAGGAAAGATTAATTTTAGTTAGGAGTTGAAGTTGCATGAGGAAATGTGCCATGTATGTTCTATGGTTAAATGCCGGTTTGCAGGCCGTTTGGATATGTTTAGTCCATGCACATACCAATTTGGAATAACTTCCTTTTTCTATTTGCTTATTACTTTGCATCCTGCTGTAAGTGAACTAAAAGAGGAAACTGCTCCCGTGGAGCTTTGTAACTTTGAAATCCTATGGTTACTGTGGGTTTTGTTGCAGAAATTGCACTAGTACTATTTACGTAATGAACTCTTGGAAGTTTAGCATCCTGTTACTGGCACTTCAGTAAAAATGTGCAGCTTGATCTTTTGTTAGATGCCAACTTTTGTATCCTTGGTAATGCTTCTTGTGTGTTTGTTAGAGGTATTTTCTCCTTTCTTTCTGGTGAACTTTACAGAGAGATTTGGATTCAGGATCCTGCTGCTAGAATGCTTCAGTGTGTTGCAGTGAAGGATGTTAAACTCTTACAAGCTCACATTTGGAGTCAGTTTTCATTCCCTATGTGTGTAGAAACTGAGATGCTAACAAATTTTATTTTGCTGTTTGTACATGGATGTTCCTTTCCTCTCTTACATATTCATTGTGCAGATAAAGGTGGTAGAGTGGTCTATAAATAACAAGTATTTTAAAAAGTAATCTTTGGAGGTTTGTGGTGCTCATGATACCTTGATACAGCCATGGTTACCAGGCGCAGGCACATCTTGGTCAGCTTCACCATACATATTGGGAAGAACTCCTTCCTCACCAAAGACCTACATTTTACCTCTTAAAAAGTCCTGTAATGTTTGGTAAAGCATTTTCTGAGAAAGCTTTTTCTTTGACCTCTTTTATCTTGTCTTCTCCAGAAACATCTGAATATTATGCAACAGTTGTGTAAGAATGCTTCATTAATTCCTGTTTGCATACCGATAAACCCAGTAATTTACAAAGTTTAAAGATTCTAGAAGTCCTAATGTTATTGCAGCTATTTTATGCCTTTTTTCTGTGTGGATGAGTTTGAGTAACCATAAAAAATGGAACTGATCCAGTATGATCAGATAAATATAGGAGTAATCAACCCTACAGGCCTGCTTAGGTTATCTAGGCTCTTTCTTTTCTGTTCACTGATCTTTTCAGTACACAACTTCTTTTCTGGGAGATATCCTTTGTACCTAGGTTTGGGCAGGAGTCTGAGCTTTTTCCTGTGTGTGTTCAGGTTGACATCATTTGGATCCATCTGTAGGAGGTAAAAAAAGGGGTCAATTTACTACTATAATTTCTGAGGATGTGGAGGAAATAGATTGTCTAGATCAAAGTATTACCCCATCTGGACTCCCTGAAAATGTAGACAAAAATTCCCTATTTTGAAAACTCAGACTTATACACATACGGTTTCACATTTCTCTTAATGAAACAGAGCTTTCCAAACCCATTGTATTGGTTGTAATCCTAAATAAAACAAAGTTTACCTCTGGATTACAGGAAATCTGTTTTCAGTAATCAATATTACAAGCATGACTCAATGAATTAAAAAAGATGGTACTATGATACAATCCTGTATGTTGCTATCTGTGTGAAAAAGGCAAAATTACCTTGCATGGCAAGGAAAAATTGGTAGCAAGTATATTTTATTTTTCTAACACTATCTTTAACTGTAGAAGTTAAGCCTTCTTATAATAAAGGGGAAAAGACAAGGTTTGTGCTGTGCTAGAGTAATAATAAAGAGTATTTTCTGGATATACCTATTGCTCTCTATTGACCATACCCTGAAGAATTGTTTGGACATCTCACCTTCCATGCAGAGCCCTGTAATGAGGGAAAATGCATCTGCTCTGCATTGGTGGTCTTCCAGCACCTCCCCATAAGCTGAGTGAGCATTATTGTCAGACTGGCACAGAGGGGCCAAATCCTGCTCCAGCAAAGGAAGCAAAGTGGAGAAAGGGTCTGGTTTTAGTCCAATTTATTGTAGTAAGAACAGAAAGTTGGAATTAGTTCTTGGATTTTAGGAGTCATTTTAAGAACTACCTCTGCACATTCATACCTCGATGTTGAGTGACTTTTAGAGACTTTTAAACAGAATTGATAATTCATGGCTAATTGTGCATTTACTCTGATCTCCCACACAGTCAGAAACACAGTTATGGTTTGGTTCTGTTTCTGCCTTTGCTTGTTGTTGGTTGTTTGCTTTCTGCTGCCTAGCATTAAAATGTTTCTGTTCTAATAACAGCTAGCATAATGTCTCCATTGTTTTGACAAATCATTTGTAAATGAATAAACTATTTATTAAACACTGCTTTTTCCCTTTCTGTGTGTGTTGAAAATTGAAAATGAAGGAAGGAATGATGAGATTAGGAGACTGGACTGGGATTTGGGATGTGTCACAGATTTAATTTGTGCATTGAGCAGTATATTTTTCTGATTCAAATTGCAAGATTTATAGGTTTGTAACTCACACTGAATTCAATAGTAATTAGGTACCTAAGACAGAGTGAATGGGTTTGTGTACCTCTGTCTCTTAGCTTAAATTCCATATTATTATATAGGAATGATACTAATCTGAAATTCTATGTGTCCAGTTCTGGGCCCCTCAGCTCAAGACGAACAGGGAATTGCTTGAAAGAGTCCAGCGCAGAGCCACAAAGATGATGGAGGCAGTGGAGCATCTCCCTTATGAGGAGCGGCTGAGGGAGCTGGGTCTCTTTAGCTTGGAGAAGAGGAGACTGAGGGGTGACCTCATTCATGTTTATAAATTTGTAAAGGTCAAGTGTCAGGAGGAAGGAGCCAGGCTCTTCTCAGTGACAGCCAATGACAGGACAAGGGGCAATGGGAGCAAGCTGGAGCATAGGAGGTTCAACCTGAACATGAGGAAAAACCTTTTGACTGTGAGGGTTACAGAGCACTGGCCCAGGCTGCCCAGAGAGGTTGTGGAGTCTCCTTCTCTGGAGACATTCAAAACCCGTCTGGACGTGTTCCTGTGTGACCTGGTCTAGGTGATCCTGCTCTGGTAGGGGGGTTGGACTGGATGAGCTTTTGAGGTCCCGTCCAACTCCCAATAATCTGTGATTCTGTGATAAGAATTTAGAAATATTACAGATTGGGAGATGCTCAGTAGTATGCTATGGAGGAGGAGGCAGTCAATTAAATGAGACTGATGAATGGAAATATTGTGATTTTTCTCAAACTTACTTGATAATCAGGACAGTTTCAAATTTCAGTGGTGTCTCATTCATAGAGGTTTGTATTCAGGGCCTAACATTTTATTTGTGTGACTGATAAAGTAACTCTTGAAGATTTTATCTCCTTTTGATCAGTGCCCTGTGTATACTGTGTATCTACTTAGTATCACAGTTTCAAGAAGATTATCACTTGAATTTTGGCCAGATTTCCCCAGCCTCTTTTCACACCTTAAGAAGCAGGCTTTGGAAATCTGGTCATCTTCAGTGCCATCTAGTGGGCAACTTTCCGAAGATTAGCAGGACAAAAAACTTCTGTCAGTCTGCTTGTCACATTTGCCAGTTATGAATATTAGTGGATAAAAAGTGCCAAACTTTGTAATTTCTCCATCCCTTAAACTTCCATTCCTCAAACAAGCAGATGTTTAAACTTATGTTGTAACTGAAGTTCATGCATTGACATTTGCAGCAGGTATGCACATCTGGGTGTCAGTCCTCCCATTCAGTCCAGTGATCATTCTGAAAATTAGACCCTAAGTAAAATAGCATCTTCTCTGCTAAAAAATCTTTACCTACGTTTGCCTAGGTTGTATAATAACTAAAATATGAATGCATCTCTTTACAGGCTTGCCGATACGGACATGTCCAACATCTGGAGCATCTCCTTTTCTATGGTGCCGATATGTGTGCACAGAATGCCTCAGGAAACACGGCGCTGCACATCTGTGCCCTGTACAACCAGGTGAGCTGGCACGCGCCTCCTTTGCCTGCAGACCCAGAGCCGCAGAGTCCTCCCATCGTCCTTCAGCTGAGGAGTGCCTGTGGTCCCCTCTGCGTGGCTGGATGTCTTTGGGAGAAGATGAGGCTGGGGAGTCCGGTCCTGTGGAGACTGGAAATCAGTGCTGTAAGAGAATGATGTAGCTAGGAAAAAAAGACATAACTGAGGTACAAATGCTAAATCCGCAGAAGCAGAGGCTTGTTGGGTTTTCAGTTGAAGAGGTTTACTGGTTTGGTGTTAGGGTTTTCCTGAAATGTAGTTTCCTCACTTTTAATAAATGCATTTTGGGATAGATTTTCCCCTGTTATTGATCTATTGAGGCAAGTCACACTGAAAAAGAACATAGCTCACTATGTTTAATGTGATTTATTTAATATGCAATGAAGGTTTTAGACAGGTTTTAAACAGTGGTCTTAGAAACTAGAAAGAACATAATTTAAAGCTATTTTATTAGTGGTTTATTCACTGATTACAAATAAGGCTACTCATTGTAGGTAGCAAGAGTATACATATCAATTAGGAAATAAACCAACATAATGTTCTATCAGCTTATATTTTTTTGTTTCATATCTAACTATTTGTTTCCTATTCAGAATTTATTGCTGTTTTACTAGAATTTAAATTAGAATTAAGTAAGAAACACTTGGAACGTACTGAGAAAATTTAACTGTAGATTATACAGAAGATACCAGACTCTCTGCTGTTTACGCCTGCTGAGTCACTTACACATAATAGAAGCATTTGGTTTGATAACATTTTATACTCTCTTTGCATGGATGGGATGGGAAGGGAATAAGTCTTACAGCTATGTTAAATCACAGCACATATAATGTTACATTGAATTAGGAAAACACAAGTCATTAGATGTGACTGTAACTAGTGAAACATCTGTTAAAGCATATGCTTCTTAATTAATTACCATCTTAGTTTGTTTTCAAAAGACTTGTTAAGACAGATTCCTCAATTAGGTCTGAAATGCCCTCAACTTTTTAAAAAATAGAATTTTGTGAATAATTTGGCTTGTTTCAAGACTGTTGACCTAATGTATGTATCATAATGGATATCAATTCATAACCAGTCTAGCTGTTCAAATCTTCCTTATTAATACTGTTTATTTGAAGTACGCAGTGTACCACGAACTGTACCTCAATGGGCTGCTGCTTGATCACTGGCTACCAGGCATCTTCAACAGGCTTTTAAGTACCTACATCAATTAGTTTAAGGTTAGCAATAGTTTCTTTGCCCAGCTTGGGTGGCTTCTGCAACTCTAGGCATACAAAGCATTTGCTAGTTGGCACTTGTTAAAATTCCTAGAAAATTTTGCAGAGAAATGAAATTCACCTTCATCTCAACAAAAGTTTGCATTTAGGCTTCATATCAAAAGCTTAAACACGTGTAACTATAACAATGTCTATTTAAAAAAATTGAAAATATTAACTTTGAACTCATTTACTTCACTTTCCTGAGTAAGAATTCTGAAGCCCAGGCCGTAATGCATATATAAACTTAAAAATATGAACTCATCTCTGTATTTTGTAACCATGTTATTGCAGTGTCTTCATGACTGTAGTTGTTTACGAGATCACACATTTTTAGCAAACAGTATGCAGTATGATGCTGAAATTAGAATAATCCTGTAGAATGACCGTAATTTTAATGTAGAGGTATGTTTTCCTCCTGACCTCAGTGGAGAAAATTATTCTGTAGAAGATGTGGAGGCTTTGATTGAAATTGCATCTACAAATTTGCAAATATTTTTACATTCATTAAGCTGGGCTTTGTGAATGGAAGTTTAACATCTTGTGACCACGCTGTCATGCTTCTGTTTTCCTTAATTAGGTATATGTGAAAATAAAGAGTTTTTCTCAGGGTGCTGTCAATGGTAACTTATGCTGATTTTGTTCAATGTCCCTTTTATTGAAAGTTGTTGTTGGATAATGTGGAAGGAATGGTGTTGGCCTTTTCTGGATGTACAGGATGGGGACAGCAATATCCTTTTTACCTCTTGATTCCTGTAGATGGAGTCATTACCCATTTGATTTTCCCTTCCAGTCTTCCCTGGGGAATTTTCTTGGGATGCTTTCTGAAGTTGATAATTCTCTTTTCCTGAGTGTCAGCTAAATGCTGAGCTGAATAAATTCTTGGTTTTGAAAGTTATTTTGTGGCCATCCAGTAGCTCATTGAAATCTAGACATATCTTATGCCTCTGTGTTTTGCAAATAACAACACTGGGATGAAGTATGCCTTCTTTCAGTCAGTGGATTGGATCCTGTATGAAAACTGCTGTAGTATTAATTCAGGTAATTAGCTCTGAGACAACAAATTGAATCTAATCTGCTGACAAGCCCACACTTCTCTGTGAAATTCTTTTTAATCTTATGAAGTCTAAAAAGCTATTGCATATTCAGTTTATGTATGGTATAATGAATGAACAATACCAAGCTCTCAATATCAGAAGTTATTAGGTTGTCAGAGCTAAAATGTGTGCAAACAGGAATTATGGCATTTGTAGGCAGCACCTTAACAGCAGAGAGCTCTAAAATGTGGAATTTCTATTGAATTAACAAAGAAAAAGTAAACAAAATAATTTCTGGTGGTGATTTTTTTGCTTATTCTCACTGTTTTGTTCCCCTTAATACTGGAAGGATGGGGAGGAGACAGAAGGAAGCTAAGAATGCTTCTGTTTGTTTTTAAAGAATAAATATACAAACACAGTACTTCATCCAAAACAAGTTTTGTTGAAGATTCTTATGTTGAACAACATAACTTATCAAAACTATTTAATAAATAAACCACTGCATGTTTATTGTGGAACTGCGGACAGCTTTGTTAAATTTGTAAATCATGTAGAGTTTTAAAATGTGTAATTATTTTGCTTTTGTAGTGTTGAATTATTTATTCTGATAAAAAAATGAAGAATCATAGAATCATAGAATGGTCAGGGTTGGGAGGGACCTTAAAGCTCATCTAGTCCAACCCCCTTGCCATGGGTAGAAATACCTCCCACCAGACCAAGTTGCTCAAAGCCCTATCCAGATTGGCTAAGAGTTGTAAGTAATCAGCCAAGAGACACAATATGTTTCTTAATATAATTATTTATATTCTCAATTTCTTTATCAAAGTTGGGAATTTTACTAAGCAGTACCTGGTGGAATAGTGGAATATCATGGGAATATAATATAGTGTGCAAGCCTAGAATAATTTAAGAGTCAGTCAAAAAGGAATTCTAGGAAAAGTAACCCTGAAAAGAACTTACCTCTTTTTTTTCAACCTGAGGGCATCCATCCAGATTGCAGCACATTTTCTTCTTATGGATGACTGCGAATACAGAACAGAAAAACGAGAAAAACATTTTGATATTTTACACATTGCTCTTGGTCTACCTATGTTTAGAGATACAGGGAGTGTGCCTAATGTCCAGATTTCTGTGCAAGCAAAGGAGAGTATTTAAATTAATTATATATCATTAAAAATTACCATCTACAAGATAATTGTTAGTATACCATCTTAAAATATGATCCATTTTTTTGTTTCAGTCTGCTGCAATATAGGAAGTGTGGGAACAAAAGGCTATCCTTTTGGAGTATTGAATCTTGCGGAAAGGGTAGAGAAAGCCTTCTCCTCAGATGTATTTAGGACAATCCAGTGATGGAGGAGTCTTAATGGGATGAAGAATCCGATGTGATAAATTAGAGAACACAATGACAGAAATTATAATCATAATTTATGTACATTCACCTGTGACTCAGAATCTAGTAAATAAGCTTCATTTCTGTCACTAAACCAGCAAAATTATGTGACTGTTTTCTCTAGTTGTAAATTTACTGTTGAAAGTGAAAGGTAGCACATTGAAATACCTCATTAGGTAGAGCTCCATAACACAACATGACAAGAAATCTGGAAAGCACAACAAAATTAATAGAAATATTTATGATGAGGAAACATGAAAACATTCTGAAATGTGATTTGGTTTGCATAAGGTCCTAAGATGAACATTAAAGATGACAGGTAGGAAGTATAGCCTATATATATATAAATCATCAAAAAGACTGGTATTCTGAGAACCGTGCCAGAACCACAAAGGATTTCTAGCAGGTTATGATCAGTCGTATTTTACAGCAGAGCAGAGTAGCGATTTAAGCAATATGCTGTAAAGGTCAAAAAAAATTGTTTTTAAGGGATTTTGTTTGCACATTTCCTCAGTTCAGAGGGCCTGAAGCCATACTTTTCTCTTGTTAGAAGGGCTGTATTGGGTTTGTGCTGTAACTTAGTATTTTTTAGGGGAAAAAAAGACATGGTAAGACTGGTGAGTGCAGTGTGTATAGCTAGACTAAATAATTTCAGATGTATTAAAATAATCATACATTAAATTTTTAAAATTGAAGATAGGCTGAAAAAAAAAGCGCACGCAAGTGGTAAAACTGCTTTGTTTAATTTTTAGCAGTAGAGGAGGTATAATTTGTCCCAGTTACTGTGTACTATACTGTGAACAGTACTGTTTCCCTTACAAAATAGTTGAAAACCATGTAAGAGTCAGATTTTATCTTGAACTAACACATTTTCTGCAAAATCTGTTTTGTCAAGTATGGAATTTCCACAGCACAGTCTCTTAAAAATTTAATACAATGTTTACCTCTCACATTCTTCTACATATTTTTACATTTGCATTTTGTTTCTACTCTTAACACACTGCAAAAACACCTAAAGCCTCGTCATAGTTAAATTACTATTTTAATAACTGTTTCTCAGATTATTTGTTTATTTTGTTTATGTCTTACCTAAGGAAATATATACCAAACAGCAACAATCTCTTTTTAGTAACTGAAGACCCTTATTAACAAGTTTACTCTTCTACTGTTTCCAGGAGAGCTGTGCAAGAGTGCTGCTCTTCCGGGGAGCCAACAAAGAGATTAAGAATTACAACAGCCAGTCTCCTTTTCAGGTAAAAAAGAAATACCCCTTCCCCCTGCCCCTAGAAATATTTGCAAGAAAATCTCATGTGAATTTGGTTTTGTGGAGAAGTTACACTGCACAAGGCTGAAAACAACTATAGAATAAGATAACTATAATTTTGGAAACTGTGGCTTTCGTGCAATGCAGTAAGTGAAGATGTCCTGGAATAATAGGAATGAGAGAGAGACACACTTGCTCTTTGCTGTTCCAGTGACACTGTCAATGAGTTTAAGAATTTTATGAGCCTTTGATGACAAAACATGAAATCATTGGTGCTCTGTGGTTGGATTTGCCTTGCTTTGTGATTATCTCCAGCTCCATGTAAGAGTGATCCAAGGAGTGACTGGGCAGCTAAGCTTGGCTTGGTCCCTGTTGACTTCACCAAACAGAAGCTCTTCCTTCCTTGGATGTGAGGGCAAAGAGCTGGGCTAAGTTTCAGGGATTTAATGCACTGTCAGTGGTGTAAGTTGAAGCTGTCATCTGTCTCTCGAAAAGAAAATGAAATCTTTCTTTGGATTAGTCAAAATTTACTAGATGATTTTTCACCATTATCTTATATTAAAGTACTTGAGAAGGCTTAATTAAAAATCCAAATGGAAGGCCATTGTTTGTCCAAAGGGCTGTCAGGTATGCCTGACAACCTTAAGCCCTTATTTCTGAAGCAGTCTTAATTAGCTTGGATTTCAGAGAAACATTCATAATGCAAACTGACATGTGAGAAATGGGGATGAAAGCTGTAATGTTTTAAGAAAAAGGAACAGAAATTTTTTTTTCAAGTTTCAGAAAATAAGGCTTCTGGGAGAAGGGTGGCACAGTACCATTAAAAGGAGCTGTCCTGTTGTGAAACACAAAGGGGCTATTTCCTAAAACCAAGTAGTCTTTCAACCAAAAGAAATCCTGATTTACCTTTGCTTATTGTATCTTTCCCATTACATCCTCAACCCACTTAGGATAATGTTGGCATAGAATTCCAGAAAGACTACCTTTTCCCTCATGCTTTGAAATAGTTGGAATATTAACTATGTCCATGTGAGTTTCTGAGCTGGCTTCTCAAAGTTTATGCATAGATAATGTCTCTGAGTTTCAGGCTTTTAAAAAAACTTGAGCCAAATATTCAATGTCAGTTTATTATCTTCATATTTTGAAGGTTTTTTGGGACATAAGTTGTGTATCTCAAGAGCTTAAGAGTTCTGCTTGCAAATCCCAGCCAGATCATTGTTTACTTTTGGGACCATTTTCCCAAAATTGGGGAAATGATGCATTAATAATGTTGCATTAATAATTTAATTTTAGGCACTATTTTAAGAATGCTAATAGTTCACCATCTAAATTTATGCTAAGCACAAATTCACTAAGTACAGGATAATACTTATCACTGTACCTTAGAATTATGGAGTGATTAAAAATGGAATAAGAGAAAACCCTAATTATTGGAGGAATGGGTTCCAGTGTCATCTCAAAGCAAAGAGAGATGAGATTGTATTATTCCTTTGTGTCTTTGCTATTAACTTTTCTTTTGGTTTAGGATTTTACTTGGAGAGGGTAAATGGCAAATAGGATAGTTTCCATTTGCCTTCCTCTTTGGGCTGACTACTGCAACATTTTTGTTCTTCCTCTTAGAAAATGTACAGGAGAGGAAAGGCAGAAAAGAAAATCTTTCTAAAAGCTAGTGCTGATAGTTAAAGGGCTTCAAGAACTGAAGGATGACTAGACAAAAATAAATAAAATCAAGTAATACAGGAGACAGAAGAAATAATTTCTAGAGAAGTGTATAGCTGTGGAAGTGCACACTCTGTCCAGTGAACTACCTCCTGTCCCTATGGAATCAAGTCTTATTTGTTATGGTTTATTATCAGTTAAAACTCCTGATACTTGGGCTTTTCACTGGTCACTTGCCCCTTAGTAAGGACAGAAGGACTGACAATTATTGGCTTTGTTTTATCCTTTCTAGAGCCACATACTTAAAAAAAGGAAATGGCTTTCCGTCTTTATGGTGTGTTACTTTTAAGTATAGGTAATGTAGGAAAAGTTCTAGGTTTTCCAAATGCAGTGAGTAGAGAAAACCTTGACACCAGCACTGCAATAAAGCAGCATTAGAATTAATTCTTTACCATTTGTCTGTTGCTGACCCAGTCGATCAGACACCACAAATGGAACTGTTACAAAATTATGCAGAATCCCCTTGAGTTAATAGGATTTTGCATACTAAAAATGTTTACTCATGTAATCAGTAGCAAGGAACATCGAAGCATCTCATATGTACATAATGAGAGTGATCGTAGCTGCAGCATCTATTCCTTTGAGTAACCTCCATTAAGTTCTTTTCTCAGAAATCTGAAAGGGTGATTCTTTTGAATTGCTGCTTAGAAAATTGATGATATCAAAACTGTGTTATTCAGTAGAACAGAAGTATCCAGACATGGAGAAATTTGTGTCTTGCTTTCAAGACCTGCCAAAACTCTATTTATTTTGACGAGTAAAATGAATTTTTGATGAAAATGAGTAGCAGAGTTTGTGTCTAGCATTAGTTTCCAATGAATGTAGTGTAATTTTATTACCTTCCCCCAAAAAAAGATATTCACGTGTTCACTTCTTACCATATCATAGTGCTTATTGAAACAAGCATAGGTTTACTGGATCACATGGAAGGAAGACTAATCTGGGCCGAACTCTGTGCCACTTAATTCAGGTACCCACACTGTGTACATGTCTCTGCCTGGGATCTGGCTGTCCTTTTTGCCTTTTCAAGCAGAGTTAGTGTTGAAATGGCATTGTCAGGTGTTGAGGCCATGAAAATGCTTGCCTGTATTTCCCAATTAAGCACTTAAGCTTTTATTAACCACCTCTGAAGGAATGTGTTTCATTCTGACTGATTACTGGGGTCCATTAAGTTAGTAATTGTTGTTGAGTACAGTTGATGTCACCCATACCCAAAAGTCTGTCTGTGACTGTCAGCCTTAGTAGATTGTGCTGCTGCTAGGATGCAATAACAGAATATGGGTCAGCAGTCATTTCTCTCTGTTTCTTGTGGAATCTACCAATGCTAATAAGTATTAACACCTGTATGGGTTCACTTGTAGGGTGAGTCTCCTGCCTGCGTTCCAAGTAGATTAGGGCAGTTCCCACATCACCGTCCTCAGTCTAAGTGTGAAAATTTTTTGTGTACTGTGCATTTTGGTTAAAGGCTAAGTAGCAATTACCGTTAAGATTAAACCTGTGCCACATTGTTATGCTATATTGCCAATTCTGTTTATTAATTGCTCATCCATGCTGTCTTGGCTCGGTAATCTAAGTACCTTACATGCTAATTATTCTGTGCTAACAGATGGAAAATAAACCATTGGCATTACAGTGCTGGAAGTGCTAGCAAATAGTACACTGTTATATACATTGTGCTTAGCCATTTCTCTTTTGAAGTAACTGTAATTGGAGCGGGTCTGTGCTTTCATTCATAGCACTGAGCTTGGACGTGCCCTCAGCCATGCCTGCTGTAAGTATTGCTGATGTCTCCACAACCATTCATACCTTATGACAGAGCTTGCTGAAACATGATGTTTGCCACCAGCATACAGTACATTGACTTACAGCTTTCTTAAGATGGCTTATGAAATGCTGATCTGTAACTTCTGTTCCAGCTATAGGTTAGCTTTAAAGATTCCAGTGGTTTTAGGGTTTTTTTGTGTTACAGTTTTTATTTCCAAAATATTATTTTAGAAAAGCCATGATATCCTATCAATGTCCATAGCTACTTAGTTTTTGACATATTTTAAGTGCTCCTTGTTTAATGTACAATAATTTCTTATTTATCTGGCAAGTATTAATCCAGTAACTCAGAACTCTAAGAGTTCTGCAGTGTTTACAAGCTGTTCACATTCTATTGTGCAAGTTAAAATGAACATACACCTTGTTTATCATGTTTTTACTTTTTCTTTTAGTGAGCAGAAGCTATATATGAATAATTCATATGTTTTCATATGGGTATAAGGCACTTTCAAGCTTAGAGGTAAAAGTGTTAATAATTAGTGTTTTTAAAGCATATGTGTTCAAATATACAGAACTATTCTGAGGTGGCATTTAGTGACACCTTTTAATGGCAGAGTTGTACCTGAGAATTACTTCTCTTTCAGCTGTACTTTATTACTGACCATTGCTGTCCCAAATCAATGTGGGTTATTAATGCACTTTTGTTGCATAGATGGCAGGAGGAGTAGCAATCTTGCAGGTCCACTGCAGGTAGAATTGTTCCTCTCGGTGTGTTGGCTGTACATCTATTTTCAGTTGTTCATATTTTTGCCAGATTTGAATCATTTGAAATGAATTTTTCCATGCCTGGTATCTCAGGCGGCATTGTTCAGAAAAACAAAATGATTCAGCTGTTTCGGAGTATGGGTGAGGGAAAACATGTGTTGTTTTGCTCATACTGAAAAACTCTCTTGACCCACCTCTTCTTGTCCCATCTCCCCTGTTGTGTTATGTTGTTTTGTTTTGTTTTGTTTTCTTTAATTGGCCTGCATGCTGTCGGTGATCTCTATGTTAATAATGAGGCAGTGTAAACCGGTTTGTTGTCTGACTCAAATACAGGGGCTCCAAAACCAGACTGCATATTTGAAAGCTAAGCTGGTTGGGGGGAATAAAGGCGGGCGCAATTGTGTATGGGTAAGTAAACACTGAGCTTGGAGATGGGTGAGAAAGTACAAGACTGGCTGAGACTTGGGCTGGGAGCCCAAAAGTGAATGTAGCAAGTGAATGGAGCAAGACCAAGATTGATAAGGGTCTTGGGGAGATTTTTAATCATCAAGGGGAGAAGAGAAAGAAAATCAGATGAGAGGAGAAATTGGGACTGACTGTTTAAAAATGGAGTCTCCTTGGGTAGAGATGCTGAGAAGGAAGCTTCAACTGGGGAGACTGAGCTGGGTGGCCAGGGAGGATGAGGCTGTCACAAGGTGAACATGCATGCAACGTTTCCAGCCCAGCTAAGTGATCTGTAAA